TAATACAATCTTAAATTTCTTTCTTTCTTGCAGGTGATCATTCCATTCATCATAGTAATGTGCACATTTGAGACCATCCAAGTCGTAACACAGCTTTCATCAAGAAGGTAACCTCTCGCTGCAGCTCTTAAAGCATTTAAACTGACAGATTCCGACAGAAACGTGTTTCCAATTGTCACACTGTGCACACTTTTATATCTGGTGCAGCCATTTCCTTTGCAGACTGAAATCGAAAACGTTTCTTATCTGTGGTTTGTTTTTTGTGAAGTGGATGGTAACTCTATTATCCATGCTGTACATGCGGTTGTGGACGATTTATCACAACTTTCTAATATTGCTTTCTTACCTTCTCTCCCTTCATCCTTTCTTCTTCTCTTCCAGTTTGTTCCTCATAGTCCTGGTCATCTCCGACCTGATGGCTCTGGTAAGGCTTTGTTGTTGGTTCATGCACTGTGATGTTTTCTCTCCTGCAGTGGAATCAGATTAGATTTAAGAAAAGCATTTTTTTTTTGTATTTGTCTTAATGCCAAAATAATGTTGAAATAAATGAGTGGAAGATAAGCGGATACGTCTGGAATAAATCAATACGTTAAAAATAAAGTTAAATTATTGAGAAAAGTCTTTTTTTAAATTTTTGTATATCTAGAATAAAGTTGAAATGTTGACAGCTACCTGAGTGTTCCATCTTTCTTAGCAGGAGAGGCAGCCATATGTGTTAATTTTAGTAATCTATTCTTAAAAGTTTGGTTTGAATCTTGAAATTCATGGTTTTTCTCGACATTTTGACTTGATTCTTAAAATGCAAAAAGGGAACAAAGGTTTTTTCTACCGTACTTTCTCAAAAACATTTCTCTCTACCTCTTTTTCTGTTAAGTAGACTGGACATGAACATAAGAAAATATTAAACTTTAACTCCCTCTTCCTTTCCTCAGCACTTTTTCTTCCTGGTGCAGGACTACGGCAGCTGGTTGGACATTGGCACAAGGTAAGTTAACTGGAAAACACACAGTGTCCAGGTCTTAATTAATAACTTGTCTCAGACACACACTGCCCCTCCTCTGTACTTTGAGTCCCTGGTTTTAATATGAGGCACTTTACCGTGCTCAACTTCTTCCTATCTTGCAGCATCAGCCACTATGTGATAGTGATGTCAATGACCATCTTCCTGATGCTGCTAAGTGTGGTCACACACATCCTCACCTCTCAAAGACTCATCCTGTGGAGGAGACACAAGTCACACTTCACTTGAATTAGCATATGCTGTCTAGTGCACTTATACACACACACACACACACACACACACACACACACACACACACACACACACACACACACACACACACATTCTGGTTACTCCAAAAGTTTAATCTTTATCGTACTTATTTTTAGATACTATTCATTAAGCATTTGTTCCATTAAACCAGTTTGTATACATATGGTAAGAGGTATTGTTATATGAGTATTGTAGGTAGTTATTGGACAATAGGAAGTAGGTAGTAGTACTATATTGCACTGTCCAAAACTCTCACACCAATTTATAGTTGTTAGATGCTTTATAGCCACCTCTCGGGACTGCCACAGAGACTTACTTCAGGTTTTCGTTCTTAGTTTAAAATACTTTTTTTTAAATGAGTTTTATAGTTTATAGTTGTTATTTCAAGTACTTAATAATGTTAAAGTCATCTCAGATGGATCATCCTAAGATAACATAGTTGAGACATTTGCACAGTACTGTTTGCACTGTATTCATTCTTTAAACCCACTCAGTGTCTCCAGCACATTGCTTTTGCATCAATCATTGATGAACTGACTGAGAATACTTGAAAATGTGACTGTGAATTATGTCTTTGCCAGGGGTGCAGATTTATGATCTACCAAGAAGGATAACTATATAAGTCTGTAACTGCTTCCTGTAAGGCTGCCTAAATATATCCCTGTTTATAAGAAATTATGTTTTAATTTATTGTGACTATGCATTGTATGGACCAATAAAACTGAAAGAGTGGAATACAAACGGCAATGTTCATAGATCCTATCTAAAGAAGATTGTTTTGTTTTCATATGACCAGAAAATATGCTTCTAGGGCTCATTTTTATGCCTTAATAAGACCAATTTTGGGGAAAAAAAGTATTTTCTTTCCGGATGCTGTTGGTAGAGGTTGACTTCACGCACTGTCCTTCACACTTTGTGATCAGTCGCTAAAACACCAATTTTCCACAGATAATCCTGCTGCATTTCAATACAAGTTTTTTGCATGTGGCGTCGTTTCTCAAGGACAGCGACCGCTACTTTTGCTACTGGTCAAATGGCTCCTATACACCTCCTCACCACTGCTGTGTGTGTTAACCCTCTGATGCTCTCGTACACTTTCTCCTCTTTGCAAAGTCTCACTTGAGTTGTTGCTTGTTACTTCAAGTGGTTCTTCACAATGTGGAGCCATCCTATTTTAGATGCAACCCATAAACTGAAAAAACTGTCATTATTATTTTAGAACCTTCTTCAGGTGTTATTGGAGTTGTTGAGCAGTGAGCAGAGTTTCTGAAGATGTTTGATTTGGGGGCCATGTTTTTAATCTAACCAATAAATCAGTCAAACTTTATATAGCCCATATTCACAAATCACAATTTGCCTCATATGGCTTAACAAAGTCCAACAACCTCTGTCCTTAAATAGAAAAACTACCAAAAAATCCTTTTAGCAGGGAAAAAACATAGAAACCTCAGAGAGCCACAATGAGGAATCTCTTCCCCAGGAGTCAGAAGTGTAACATCACATCAACAAAATAACAATATTTACAATATTCACGAGAAAAGCTGTGTCGAACATAAATGGAGAGTAGTGTCAAATGTCAAAAGTGTTTATTATAAAGAAAAGGGAGCAGTCATGATAATTGAATGATAGTTATATTGCCAGTTATGTTACTAGATGTGAGAGGGTAAATTGTATATCTCAGCAATCTAGTTGTAATCATAATCCACTATCAGCTGCCCCTACTAACCTGTTTGCTTTTTATACTTCTACATAACATACTGTGCTCAGGTTTGCTGTATATACCCCATGTCTTGAAGTCCTACAGCAACTCATAGAGCTTTAGTTTTCCAGCAGCCTGCACTCGTTAAAAAGATCGTCCATAACGCGTCCACATCTATTTCATGGTTATAGGCCTACAAAGATCCTGCAGTGTTTACTGAGATGTTCTTAGTTTAACACAACAGTCATCTGTCAACACCAGCAGCTTCCATCACTACATCCCCTTTCACTTCTTCAATTTTAAATTGTGTCAAATACAGAGAGTTAACTTAGTGAACTCTAATGTACAGTTTATGTACATGACATTTTTTCAGAATTGTATTTTGGTAAAAAAAAAATTTCTGCAACTGCTGAGATATATTCAACAAACGGCCAAGTGAAGAGTGCCTACCAGAAGGAGGAAGCTCTGTGGTTGTGCTGATGAGTGCGCACCAACCTCCTGTTTGTGACACAAACAAATACGGCCACAAGCACGCACGCGCACACACACACAAACACAGTCATTGTTTCTGTCAGGACAAACACACGCACACACAGTTGCACTTCATTTTCACAACCTGAACTTCCAGTAAAAGTTGACACACATTTGCACTTGATCGCACACAGACATATGCATTCAAGCAGAAGCTCTTGCCCACACAGACACCCACAGACATTGCTATCTGACACGCTCATTGACACAAACCATGAACACTGCTTCAACGACATAAAGTGATGTAGAAGAAATACAGACCCACTAATTCCTAATTTTCACACACGACAGCACAAGGCAGCCAGTTCCGCTCTGAACTAAAAGGTACGTGAGTTATCTTCATTTTGACTTTGACTATCTGGTTTTTGACTTTGTGTTAATAAATGATGCCGTTTTAATCATAGTTTTAATCTCTTGGTAATAATTAAACTGAAAACAGTAATTTCGTCTAAACTGCACTATATTTAAATGCTGGATTTTTTCATTTCAGCTGACTTTTGTTGTAATCGCCATTTTTTTAGAGTTACATGAGACAGTAAAATTATACTCTGGTAAATGTCTGATGTGTGTGCGTGAATGGCAATAATCTACTGTAAAGCTCTTTGAGTGGTCACCAAGACTATAAAAGCTGCTATATAAATACAGGCCATTTGCCATTTGATGTAAATTATGTGTTCAAATATGAGCAACATAAAGTAAAATCAGATAAATCAGTAAAGTATAAACAACGAAAAAATAATGCGTGAAATTCAAAGTTGAATCGGACAGTGTTTACTGTTTACTTAATTATCTATTTCTATTTACTTTTTAATCTTTAGATTCATTTTTATATCTTATATATTCTCTTTTTTCCTCTCTTCCTTCCCCTTCATTTCCATCCTTTCTCCTTCCTCCCTCCCTTTCTATTCTTCCATCCTCTCTTTCCTTCCTTTCTTTCTTTCTTTCTCCCTCCCTCCCTCCCTCGTTCTCTCTTCCCTCCCTTCCTTCTGTTCTCTCTTCCCTCATTCCCTCCTCCCTCCCTTTTTATTCATCCTTCCTCTGTCTACCTCAGATGAATTCAACGACCAATGACTCGTCCCCCAAGCAACCAGATACTGAACATGCTTATGTGTACCGTACTGTCCTGCTGGCCATCAATGTCTTGGTTCTGGTGAGTGGCACCATCAGCCTAAGCCTGATGATGCACATCCTGAAGTCCAGCTCCACATCCATCACCTCCATCGCTGTCCTCAACCTCATCTTCGCCCACTTCATCTTCCTCATCACTGTGCCTTTCAGGATTTACTATTACGTCAGCGGCAACTGGGAACTGGGCCACAGCTGGTGTAAAGTGGTCAGTAGCATGATCCACATCCACATGTACATGTCTTTCTTCCTATACGTGATCATCCTCATCACGCGCCTCCTGACGTTCTACCGCAAGGCGGAGCAGCTTGCCCCTTTTCGCAGCATCCACGCGCTCCTGGTCAGCGCGGCGGTGTGGGTGATGGTGCTATCCACAGTCCCGTTCGTCATCCATTTTGCCTATGGTAAAAACCAGGAGAAAAACTTGACGCAAACAACAAATGAAACAGTTTGCTTTAAATTCGGGAAACACATACATAAAGTGTTCGGTGCCACGGTGGTGAATTACGTCGTGAGCACGCTGATCATAGTGGTGGCTGCCGTGCTGACGGCCCTCCAAGCAAATGTCCTGAGGGTTTTGTACAGGAGGCATCGCCAGGGATGCATCTCGCAGCAGGACTTCGGGGCTCAGCTGAAGAGCATGTGCTTTGCCCTCATCATGGTGGTCTGCTTCATTCCCTACCACATGTTCCGACTCTATTACTTGGAACACATTAATCTACAGCAGGTCAACGAGGTGCTTCTGAGTCTGACCACTTTCAACTGTTTGGACATGCTCACTTTCCTGGGGAGGAGAAACTGCTACATGTGCTTCTTCAGAAGGGTCAGGTGAAAGGACATTTGTCGACTTTATTATAACTTTAATTTTACTCTACGCCTTTAGATCTACATCCAGTGCTGCTAACTTTTTGCGCTATAAAGATGGATGACATGATGGTGACCCGAGTGTGCCGGACCAATCACAGCTCATTCAGTCTGCTTCGCTTTCATGAGTAGTTACATTTTTCGGGGAGGTGCACATCAAGGTACGTCGTAAGGCTCTGTGTATTGTACACGTCTACACGTAGGCTACGCCCTAGCTTCGACGCAGAAGCATGAATTGGGCTTTAGCAGTAACACTGCATTTATTTTTCTGTAAAGTTTGGTTTTAATATTTGTTGCGGAACAAAACATTGACAGCTGAGAGCGACTTATGATTGGTTGATACCACAGCTCTATCCCCCCTATCGCCATACTGTGCAGACTCTGGCTCCAAATGATGTCATTAATGCAAGAAGGCAGCGTTTATCCAGGATATTTTTGGCTTCATTTCTATCTTCTTCATTTCTTTAAATACAGTCTGCTCTGTGCACAAACAATGACTCCTCTAATGTGCTCTGTAATAAAAACGATTGTGTGACTGCAGATAGTGGTGGTTTTATGTTAAAGATGGTGCACAAACAAAACTGTGTTTTCTGAAGTGTGCAGCTCCATAGCTGAGATAAGAAATAAATGTCTAAAATCATTACTTTTTTACTATTATTTTGTGAAACATTACCTCAACCCTCTTTTACCTTGTGCCCTCAGAGGTGTTGTTAGAAGCCCATACGCGCACACACACACACACACACACACCTGGTGATCCTTTTCCTTTTGGTTTTTATGGTGCTGGGTTACTGTTTAACATCCCCACCCTAGTTTGAGTTTGTTTAGTAAATCGATCTAATGACTGGGCTATGGTGGCGCCATCCAGTGTGTCGCTCCATGAATTATAGGCCGCTCAGCTCTCCAACCTTCCCTTTTTAATGCTGTCGAGCACCTTTACGATTTTCCCACTGTCACTCAGATTAATGTTGCACTGGTGCTGCTCACCACCGAGGTGAACAGCGGCCCGCCTGGATAAATGCACATCCCAGACAGAGAGAGAAACACAGGTGAGTCACATTTCTCCTGTGAAGTATCGTGTCTTTCGCTGCCTTTAAGAAATACATGTTGTTGCTTTTGTAGAGGAAGTGAAGATTACCTTGGGCAGTTTCTCCAGGAAGTTTGGTAACATGTTCTAATAAATCACGTGGTTTTGTATCATGGTGGTAACATTGCAGCTGTGCCCATTCACACACACACACTTCAGGTGCAACACTTGCTTAATGTCCTTTAACCAGAACTGGTGCCTTTTAATTGTTAGCTATATACAGCAATGTGGTTATCTAGATCTCTCTTCTGTGTGTGTGTGTGTGTGTGTGTACCTACTGAGACAGCGTTCTCCGTGCTCTGCTCTCCGGCAGCATTTTGCAGAAACAGACAAGACCCACTTTGTCACGCATGCTGTGCAATAAAGATCAAGTGATAATCCATTTCACACTCTGCACGATTGCCTTAATGCTTAATAAGAGCATAAATAAGAGGGCAACAAGTGAGCTGAGCAAGAAGACAGCGATGCAGCAACGGCGTCACTTAAAATACAAAAACCTAAAAATGCCACAGTCCAAAACACACTGTGACTGACTGTGAGCAGATTGGTGAAGTTTTTTTGTGATTGTGAAACAGAGTTGTTGATTGATCTTTGGGTTTGTAACATTAGATTGTGAAACCCTTATAGGCTTTACGCTACCTGGATGAATCACCTAACACAAATACATTATCTAAATTCTTAAAGGTGAATCTTATTTTTCTCTTGGTGCTGATATTAGCAGGGAGAATAAAGTAGTAGAAACTCAGGATTTATGGGGAAAAAGTTGGGGAATTTTAACGTCCTTTAAAATTCCAGGTAGTAAACTTTTGGTAGTGTTTTTTGGGTTTAACAATTGAGCAATATGGCAGCAAATAATGAGCTGAGCTGTGTATTTTTTATTGTGGATAGTAAGGGGTAGTTGTGAGGCTGCTCTTCATCTGTAACTATCAAAAGCTGTAATCTAAATAGAGGCGACAGTGTTATGGCCAGTTCACACAGAGATAGCCTCTTAGCACTGGGTTTATGGCTGCAGAGAGCTTTTGGTTGCTAGGCGGACTCAAGGTTTCGTTCTTTACGTCCTGCTTGATTTTCAGCGAAGGAAATCATGGCACCTCTTATTATTTGTGTTTCTAAGAATGTGTAATTGATATATTTTATACATTTTTAATCTATACTAATCTTTGGCCTTTTGACTTCTTCTAATCTTTTTGATGGGTGGTTGGAGAAGTTTTCATTATATTAGTGAAGTGAACATAAACTGCCTTCCTAAATAGATTCAGTGTTTGAAATGTTCCGTTATGAAATGTATCATCTGTGATCTGAGGTTATTACAGCAATAAGGACTTCAATTCCTAGTCTTAGCACTCAACAGTTAAAGATGAGGTTAAAATATGTTTTGAGGCTTCAACCTGTCCACCAATGAGACATTAAGTATAATAGATATTTTACTTTTGACTGACACTGACTTTTTTCCTGTTTCAAAATCCAAAGTCGCAACGATTGCACAGTATGTCAAACCCAGCACTAACTCCTCACTCACAGTCTATGCAATACAGTATTTTTATCCTTAATCCCATCTTTTTTCATACATGAAACCCTTTTACACTGTCTAATCCTTATCCAGGTGCAGTTATATAAAGAAACGATGAATTAAATTGAATACTCTCATGCTACATGCTCTGTGTCAGACCGTTGCTGTTTTGCATGGTGACAGTGTGACTGACTAAATTCTTCACTTCTCACAAACCTGATGAGTCAGGAGGCCACATCACGCTGCATAGTTAAAATGTAAACTCTCTATCACTTCTATCACTTCTCTCTCTCTTTCCCCACCTCTCTCTTGTTTCTGTCTCTCAGCCTCTTCCCTCCACTCTTTTGTATGAACTAATATGTCAGTTATTAGGCTTTGAGTGGACACTAATTGTTTTATCTCTTATCCACTGAATAATCCATGATACCGTACATTCTGATATACTTTACTCGGTTTATCCTCCTGCCTGCTTATATACTGTACTGGTGCTTTTCTCACTGAATCACTCATTACTGTTCTGTGGTGATCTAGAGTTATTCCAGCAAGGCAAATAGCTCCAGCCATGATGACATTACAATACCTCCCAGTATGATAACTCAGTAATCTTGCGGGAATTACTGCATTGTATTGGTAGAAACGATGTAACCCCATACCTCCTCCCACTATCAAGGAATGAAGCCAAAATATCCCAGATACGATGGCTGCCATCTTGTGTATTTGGAGGCAAGGTCTTGTTCTTGATACGAACACTCGACTCAGTCTCAGCTGTCAGTCATGACATTTCATCCTGTTTTTATAGAATCAAATTAAAACCAGACTGAAAAATCAACAACTACCTAAAATAACAGAAACCATATTAATCACAATTTTTTTGACATGTTTTAATTTTGTCGCATGATCCAGGCCCCATTCACTAACAGGGAGGAGGCAAGATTTATTACCTATACAGTAGCCTGCCACCAGATGGCACACAAGAATGCTGTGGCTTCACTTTTAAGGATCAGTCACATCATTTGTCTTCATATTCAGTTTATGATTTTACCTTATACCTATTCTGGATATTCCTAAAATGCGATTAGCTTCACTCGGGCTTCCAAAATGCTTCATTTACAACAGCAGCTACTACTAATAAATACTACTGGCCAAGTAACCTCTATAGCTAAACTTATGTCTCCAACATTAAGTATTATCTACCTCCAGCATGCTAGAATACCAAAACTAAATGTTTCCAGTACTGCTTCACTGCACATGCACTGATCTGTCATGCACACTAACACACTATTCAAATGATCATATTTGTATACCTTTTTTTAGGTCAAACAAATAGCTTACTTACATTACATGATTTGAATCAACTGGATAGTGAGAAATAAGTAACATTAGTAATTATCACTTTTTACAGTGATGACGTAGGGCCTCAAATCACACATAATACTGCCTCTTATCATTTATAGCCATCTCTAACAATGCTCTGAATGGATTACCTTTAAGCCACACAATAAGATTTAGTGCAGTGAAACTCCCAATATAAAATAGGTGGGTTGGGACATTTTAACTGGTTTATGGCAGTAAATTCCTGTCTGAGAGTGGAGGCAGGTCACTGACTAACTGGCCAACTTCCATTTCTAATGTTAAATTGTTGGTGTTGGCTGATGGTCTTTCACATGCATTTCTGAGAAAATGTTTCAAGAAATAACACCTTCTCACATCCTGTTGCACATTGCTTTGTGGACAGTGTCAGTGCACTACCTCTTTTTTTTTTTTACATATAGAACTGTCTGAGAGAAGAGAAAGAAAAGAATGTCTGAAAATTCTCATTATCTTTACCAGCGACACACGACAACAAAACATCATGGTTTCATGGGGGTAAAACTACTACAACATTAGTACAGTATTTGATGGGAAGAT